GTCCTGCACTTTCCAGCTTGGCTGTACCGTTTTTGCAAGCGATCAATATTTATTGCCTAATCACATTCTCTGTCCTGCAAGTTGGCAGTGCCACGCGCACCAAGCTGATGCGGAGGCCACACAAAGCTCCACTTGTAGGAGCTGCAATCAGGGAGCCAGTGCTTGTCACAACCCCACAAAAGGATTTCCTCTCGAGCAGCTCATCTTTAATCATTATAAAAGCACAGAAGTTTAATCCATTTTTGATGTAAGCGCTAATAGCTTTGTGTCCTTGAAGTTCAAAGTGGTCTTCGTGCATGTCGCTAATTAGCCGAGCAAGCAGCCATTCAGCTCCCTCTCATGTTTCTAATTAGATCCTTAACAACAAACAAATGTCGACCTTACAAAGGCTGTGCTACGTTTCCCTCCATTAGTTAAACACTTTGGGAGGGAGGCGGTTTCCATTTTTCTGCAATCCCCCAACCACCACAGCGGCGTTTTGGGCCGTGCTGCTGCCCCTCACTGGTGGTGTTTCCGCACAGCGCTGCGGGTGCTGAGCACTGGGGGCTACAGCCGTGTCCCACACCTACATGGAGGCCAGCAAGTAAATCTGAGAGGTAATGGCTGTCCTGTTTGCCACCTTCAGCAAATCAGTCGCAGAAGCAGTAAGGCTGGAGAAGATCACCTCGTCCAACCGCCAACCCATCATGTCCAGTCACTGTCATTAAGGTTTGAGAAGACCTCTGAGACCACCAAGTCAACCCCACCCCCACCATGCCCACCATGCCCATCCCCAAGTGCCACACTGCTATGGCCCGGCAACACCTCCAAGGACAGGGACCCACCTGCTCACCGGACAGCCTGTGTCAGTGCCTGCCCAGCAGCCTTCCCTGTCCATTCACCTGATGGTACAGCCCATTTGAAATCTGCTGTGTTCCGGTGCTTGCATGCTTCGCACCAATTGCTTGGGACCATCTCCCCTTGCTCTCTTTTGGTGCTGGCACCCCGGGCTGCCATTCCAGCAGCAGTGCCTGCGCTGCCCCAGGCTGGGCTGGTTGAGAGGCTCCCACCCTGCAGCAGCACAGGGCCAGCCAGCACTGCCCTGTGCACACAGGAGGCTGCAGCTCTCAGCATCGAGCGCCCGGCCAGCAGCAGGCTGGGCCGTGTGACCCTGTGCACAGCAGGCCTCCCCCATCATTTTTCTATATAAAATGAGCAACAGCCAAACTAAGCAGAGACGCCACTTTCACCTCTTGCTGGGTAACATGAAATCTGTTGCTACTTTTACCATGGGCACCACATCTGCATTAATTGTTTACCACTGCCCGGACAGGTCTTTTATTAATATTAATGAGTAACAGGGAACAAAAGGCCCCTTTATTTTTAGCCCACTCTAATTGCGTAGTAATTACTCATCTACAAAACAAATGAGCCGAACTCCATTGCCATAGCAACAGAAACTCTGGCCTCCTACTGTAACGCATTAACTGGCTATCACTCCCGTTAATTTTAAATCGAAGCCTTTTGAACAGTAACAGACAATACAGGAGGAAAATCACAACAGCCCTGGGGCTGTAAGGCACCACGATGTGCAGGGACACCATCCCTCAGCCTGGGGCACCCATTCACCTGTGGGCATCCGGGGCCCCCCCCCTGCACACAGCGCTGGGCTCCAACCGCCAGGAGACACCTCTGAACAGCCCCAGCTGTGTGAGCAGATTGGTTTTAGAGCTCAGCTTCATGCACCCAAAGACCAATTCTGCATTCTCCTGAAACTCCTAATCCACCCTGCTCCTCGTGCTAATCCTGAGCCAGACGCATGCGAGCACTCGCTGCAAGGAAAAATGTCACTGCTTCTTTTTCACTTTTCTTTCTCCAAAATCAGGAAAAAAACCCAACAAACCAACAAACCCAACAGCATTGTAATTACATACTTACTTCTAAAGCATTTAGGGTGAGGGTCAGCGGTGGGTCTGTAAAATGCATGCTATGTCACACTCAGAGCTGTGGCACTAACGGGGCTCAGCCCGCTGTGCTCAGTCCATCCCATGGCTGTGGGGGCATCAGCTCTGTGTGCCTGGAGGCAGCAGGGTCTCTGCTGGGACCTAATTCCCGCTGAAAATAATTCTCCTGATTGAAAAGACTATTAAAAGTTAGCCGCTAAATTCATAAAAGATTAACTTACACCATGCTTAAGTCTGCACATCAGAGGTGGTCACTAATTGCACAGGGGACGATTTATCAAGTGCGCAAGGTTTCCTATTACGAAATTATTGATTAAGGCTGATGTATTTAAACCACAACAGACCTCAGCCAGGAGCCCTGTGCAGAGCGATCACTGCTGTGGTTGAGGCCTAATCACAGCAGCACCAAATGGCTTTAAATCTGCCAAACTTCCTACATGGCCCTGGAAGGAGCTCAGCCCAAGAGGAAAAGCCGATGAGTGGGGCTCGTGTAGAGGAGAGAACCTCTGTGGGGCTGGAACCAGCCTGGATTGGCACAAAACCTCCCAGATGATACAAAACATAGAATCACAGAACCATAGAATCATTAAGTTTGGAGAAGACCTCCAAGATCACTAAGTCTGACCCCAAGCCACCCCACTGCGCACACTGACTGTGTCCCTCAACTCCACATCCCCACAGATCTGGAACACCTGGAGGGTCGGTGACCCCCCCATTCCCTGTGCCAGCACCTGACCGCCCTTTTGGAGAAGAAATCGTTCCTCATACTCAACCTGACCCTCCCTGACACAACATGAACCTTCACCTCTCATCCTACCCATTACCCAGGGCAGGGGCAGACCCCCAGCACTCTATAACCTCCTTCCAGACACTGGCCTTTGTGTTCTCCCTCTGCAAGTGCATGAAGAGGTGTGAGGTTCTCCATCCCACCCCTCCCTGCTGACTGCCTGCACCACTCTCCAGCACCGCCTGCCTCTGCTAGGAAGATAAGCAGAAGATAACATCTGATGCAGCCATTAATTTTTTGAAGCTCCAGCCGTGCAGAGCTCCGGTTGCCAGCCTCTGTCACATAATTACCGGCTGTTCCAGTGGAGTGAGAAATTTCAGCCTGCTTGCTGCTCCCAAGTGGTCCACTTGTTAGGTTCTGGCTTTTGAGATTACATAGCTTGGATTAAATTTTATGTACTTTTATATAGCAAAATAAAAGGAGGGGAGCAGTTCCATCTGAGCAGCCGTGCCGCAGGGAGCCCTCTCCGCAGGCCGCATAAATCCCTCACTGCCACATCACCTCGGCACATCCCTGCTCAGCTCCGTGCTGGTGTCACCCCCCCCGCACAGCCCAGCCGTGGTCCAGCTCTTTATGGCTGCAATTTGCCAACACTATGGGCGCCTAATGGCGATATTACATTTTTAGAGCACCTTCCTGAAGTGTAAGACAAGGATTCCTAAGCCCCTCACAATTTGTCGCTCTGCTAACTTTCAGATACGCTCTTCACTACATCACACGCCTTGCGCATTAAACAGTGGGTCCCCTGCCTCCTTGGCAGATCGAGATCAAAAGGGGACATAATTCTCCCTCTTGATACCTGAGTACCTCGGCTCCTCGGCAGCAATCAGGGAAGCGATACGGGCAGCTCCGATTGCTCTGCACAGGCTGCCTCTGGGTCAGCTCCATCCAAGCTGTTGTTTGGCTGATTTACTTGATGCTCTGTTAGAGGTGAGGAGCAGATACAAATTCTTAACTACACTTCGAAAGCCCCCAGAAAACCTTATTCCCTCTGGCAGCTGAACGCAGAGCCCCCAGCAGAGCAGGACCATGGGCTCAGCACAGAGCCTTCGCAGGAGGAGGAGGAGGAAGCAGGGAGCACCCACACCTTGCACACCCCAACTGCTCCCAGCAGGGCGTTCTCTGACAGCCAGCCAACGAAACAGAGAAACAAAGTCTCTATTGGGATCTCACCTGCTGCCTGCTAAACCCACAGACTAAACTTCATTTGGGAAAGACTTCCCAAAGCCTCGTGCACACACCTGGGCACCGGAAGCAACGCCGCTCGCTGGCTCGACAGCAAAGATGCAGAACTCGTCTCAAGCTCCTGATGCCAATATTCATGAAACATTACATCTTCATTTACAAAAGCTCCCTTAAGCTCGGTGACATGGCAATGAATACAAACCACCGCTAGCTCAGAGTCTCTGTTGCATAACAAGATTTAAGGTTTATGACCTAAAAACAATTGCTTTATGTCTTGGGACGGTCTGCGGGAAGCTGCTTCGCACACATGGTATTATTTAGACACCCAAATGGAGTGATTTGCATTCGGCACATCTGGTCTACAACTGCTAACAAATGATTCTATGGGCTAATATGGACGAGTAACAGGCTGATGGAGAAACCATGATTGTAAAATGATTTTTAAAATATCTTTTTAATATAAAATAAAAATTAGAGAATATTGTTATGCTTAGCATTTAAATTCCTAGGGGGTTTAATTTGAAAAAATACGGCAAATTTACTATCAACATAACAGCATGTGCGGGTTCTTGTACAGCCTACAGCTGCATTCAATTTAAACTTCCAGATAATGGGATTTAACAAATGCAGGACTATGGATCCAAGCCTTTAGCAGCTCTCTGCTTTGTTAATAGCCCTACGCTCTCAGTCAGACCAAGGCTATGCTTTTAACTGCCGCGCTATTTCACATTGATGGCACCTATAATATCAACTCGACAATGCATGTTCTACAACTACATCTACTGCTACCAGTACGACTACTACAGTGCATGCATTTAGTTCAGTCCCACAGATACATACACTCTAAGAACAGGCAAGGGAAGATGTGAAATGTTTTACGGGACGACAGGTGTTTTGTTTTTTAAGTAAGGGAAATTAATAAAAACATCAAAAGAAAGAAAGTGTACAAAAAAATAGAGACATTTCTCAAGAGTTGATATGAGTCGTTTCTTGAACCGTTTCGTCTGAACAAGCAAAAAACATGCAACCAGCTGCTACTAACAAGAAGCTGGACACTGAGAGAGGATTAATAGGTGTGGACAAACCTTCCCGCTGAGAGCGCTCAGAAGAGTGTTTGAGAGGAGGTGTGCACGTCCGAGTGTAAGAGAGGCCGGAAAGTATGCCTCAGAGACACCCTCTCTCACAGCAGCCCCAACCAAGCAAGAGAGAAAACAACAAAACATAACTGCTCACACTCACCATCAAGGTCAGTAGCTTGCGTTACTAGATTCGTTATACTGGCAAGTATAAAGTACAGTAAGGGGTTGTCGGGGCGCGGGGCTCCAAGCCGGCACAGGCGCCCGAGGTCCAGCCGTGCTGGGAGCCGTCGGAGCACCGCGGTCACCTGGGACAGCCGGGCACTGGCTGCTGAGCAGCGGGTCGGGCTGAGCTGACGGCCTTAGCGCCTTGATCTCTGGTCAGCAGGGAGGAAAGGCTGGTGGCAACAGGTTGGAAACTGGAAAAATCTCAGACTTGTCCATGAACCAAACGGGAAGGCACTAAAACCCTCTCCTGCCGATTTTTCGTTGGCTCGCTTTCCTTCCAAGTTAATCCCCCCCCCCCCCTCCATGTCAAATGTAAGATAAAAATGTCCCCCCGATGGTTTTACTTTAAAAAATGTGTTTATAAGACAAAAATGCTGTACACGCAAAAAAATGTCAGGTGGATTTAAAAGAAATGTGACACTGATAGTGAAGTTGTCTAGGAGGAGTTTGCAGCACTCAGACTTTTACGTTTCCATGGCTCAGGTCCCAATTCATAAAAAAAAATATTCAAGAATGGATGAGGTCATCAAAAGCAGCCGAGGGATCTGGCACGGCCCCACCAATGGGAACAGAGACTGAGAGCCCTCGGCCGTCACCTCCTTGTGGGGATGCAGCCGGGTCAAGAGCGGGGTTTAGGGCTGACATTGAGCACGAGCAGAGGAAAACGTCCCTTTCTGCTGAGCATAGGACATAGCTGCTGTGACAGAAAAGAGAACCTGTCTGACCTAGCAAGGCAAACTGGCGGCTGCATCCTCACAAAAGAAAAAGAAGGGCAGAGGGAAGTGAAGAGTGAACAGGTCGTGTGCAGGTAACTGCCCTGCTGCCCAGCAACGCACAGGGTGCCACAAAGGGTCACCAGCCAGGAGCACTGAGGTCAGCAGTGTCTGCACATCAGAGCTGAAGGGGATTGGAAATGAGAAGGCTGCAGTCTCCTTGGGAGACCATGAGGCTAAGCAGTGAGGCCAGGGGGGAACGCAGTGCTGCGCTGCCCACAGAGGGGCAGCAGCCTTGGGGCTTGGGGCTTTGGGCTGGGGCATGTATGAAGGAGGGGTGTGCAAATTTGCAGAGGGAAAAAGAAAAACCCAACCGGAAAGAAGAAAAACCCCAATCATTTTTTCTTGTAATGAATCGGGCTTATAGACTGTATCACAAGATTGATGGCACTCTACTGCTCCTGGATACAATTCACTACCATGGCTGAATGGAAGTGAGGATGTCCCTTCCAAAAGCTGCCTCTGGATGGAGATGACTACGTGACACACACCGTGCCTGGAGCAGGGCTGGCTGCGCCCCACGGCTGTGACAGACCCACCTCCCTCCTGCAGGTCTCGGGGTTGGGGGGGCTCTTGTGATTCGGTTTTGGAGTTTTGCCATTTTTATGCACACGGGCAATTTTGAGGCTTGAAAGACATTTCCAAACACCATACTGCTCTTTAAACTTGCCAGAAAGGGTGTTATTAATTTCGGGTTAGATTTAGTTTTGTATTGCAAGTTCAAATAAAAAACGAAAAAACAAAACAAAACAGAAAACCCAACAGAAGAAAAACCAAAAAACACTCAAATTAAAGACAAATGATTTTCAGGCACAGAATTGATCAATGCTCAGTTCAGTCGTAATGGGCACCAAAAGCACTCCGATTAAAAAAATAGTAATTATCAGGGAAGCAATGTTAATCCAGCCAAACCCTCTGTGCCTTGCTAAGGGGCAACTCACCAGGTCTGTTTGTACGTAAAACAAAACCTGAAGGGCAAAACATGAGGAAAAGGCAGAAACAATGAAATCTGTTTTCCTGAAATCATATGCAAAATCATTCTCTTTTTTTCTTTTTCTTTTTTTTTTTTCACTTTTGAAAACTTTTGTTTCCCTCAGTTAAGGGGCAGTGGGAGGAGCGAGGAGATTGGGACCCCCACAACCAGTCTGGCAAGTCACCCCTTAGGCGCTCTCTACATGCCACAAAATGGAACTGGTACAGATAATCCTTTGTAGCCTGCAAGCAGTGCCAGTTTGCATGGAACGGAGTTCTCCTGGTGTCTTGCTTTGGCCTCCACGGCATCAGGCTCACACACTGGGGCCCGTGCCCTCCTCCTGACCCAGTATGCAGCGGTTTGGTCGGTTCTTTCCTGGAAGAGCCCGGTTCACCCAGCGCACCACCAGGAAAGTCACCGAGAAACCCCCACGTCAGGACTGCATCATGGGTGAGCTGGGAGCAGCCTCCAACGCCGCGGCCTCCGCCCGGCACAACACCCAGCGGCCGACCCCTGCAGCGGGCCCTGTGCCGGGGAGGCCGAGCACAGCGCTGCCCCCAGCCCGGCCCCGCGCCTCGTGCACCCACGGCCCTGCGGGATGGGACAGGCTGGTGGCTGGGCTGCCCAACCGGCAGCTCACTCATGAGTGCACTGAACGCTCCACGACCTCAGCAAAGCGCTAATTTGCACCTTTATCTGAATTTGAAGCCCAAAGTAATAACGGTAATTGGCAACGATTGATTTATTTCCCTTAAGGGGAAAAAAAACGGAAGTGTTCGGAAGGACGGGAAGAAAAGCTTTGGCGTTTCCATGAGAAGCGGCCGGCGCACCGCAGGAAATGGCACACGGCCACCCGCGTGGGACCGACCCGCGGCGCCGGGGAGCAGAGCCTGCACAGCCCGGCCCTCACCTTCCATGAGAAACGAAAACTTTCTTTCGCAACACCGCAATTCTTTTTTCTTTTGGGTGTCCTTTATAATCTCGAATTTAAACAAAAGAAACCAACGTAATAAAGGGATAAATAAAGAAGCAAATCAGAATATCTACCCTGGTTTTGGCAGTTCTGACGCCAATCTCCTGCAAGGTGCTCCAGGCCCGTGGCCTCTGCTTGTAGTTTGGGGTTGGGATTTAGTTATTTTTTTTTTTTTTAATCTTTTTGATCGATTGGTTTCAGATCCCCAGGATAAGCGTGAGGAAAATCAGAGAAATGATGGAGAGCTGCAGCCACACAGAATACCGACAGAGCTTTTACCTGACCCTGCACTCTGAGGGTTTGCTCTTCCACGGGCCCCCCTACCTGATCCTCTTGCTGCCGCCACGGCCGCCGCTGCTACTGGTCCATAAGCCGCTGCCGGAAAACCTGGCCGTGGAGAAAAGGAGAAGGGTAAAGAAAGAAGCCGGCGGCACCGCGCGCCTCTGCGGGGCGTCTGCCAGGGCAGTGCTGGCACACGGTTCCTGGGCACGGCGCTGCGGGAGGCGAGGGGCCGGGGCTGACCTCGCAGGGCCCCCACAGCCAACATCCCCTCCAGCAGGCAGGGCCGGCCCGTGCACACAGCGACGGCTGCATTTCGGTCGCTGCTTATTTGCAAGTGATAATAACGTGCCGATCTACAGACAGAGCAGTAATGGAAAACGGGGGAAGGGTCTCGTGTCAAGATCACAGATTTGCTGGGATCAAGCAGAAAAAAAACTCAACCGGAATGTAATTTAAAAAAGAAAGAAAGAAAAAAGCTTTTGATAGCAAAACAGCCGCAGATCAAGGAGCTTGAAGACACACACCCTGCTACAGGGGGCTGCAGATGAATGAAACGCTGCTACCAAGATTTCAGACTCGGTTTCTTTACTTAATTAATATTAACAGATCTCCAGAGGCTTTGACTTTCTATATATATTTTAAGAGGGCAATGGCAAGGTCCAGGCAATCAACAGGAAGCCCCAGTACCCTGTGCTGCCACATCAACGAAGCACTTGGAGCGCTCCTGGTCCCTGGGAGCTCCTGCTGTCAGCCAGGACAGCCGCTGGTGCAAACTCTGCCTCAGCACTGCCCTCAGCAGCTCCGGGACTCGAGACCACAGCTGCTTCGCGGTGCTGAAGAACCACAGAAAAACAACTGAGCCAAGAGAGAAGAGAACAGCAAGCTGAGAGATGGAGAGAGCGAGAGCCAGAGAAACCTGCCAGCTACAAGCCTGCTACCACTACCATCCTACCTATGAGGAATCTACCAAGGGCACGAGCAGAGAGCAGCTAGGCTAGAGTCACTTAAGGCTACTTAAAACATTGATTAAAAAACAGACATACTTGCATTTAAATATGGTAATAGGGCTGTTGGGGGAAAAGAGAAAGTCTAGGTAAATGTATATGCAGGGTAACCCAGGCAGCTGCTCCCTGCCTACAGAGCCCATGCACAGCACAGCAAACCCTGCTACTTAACACCTACATGATTTGTTCATTACGTTGATGAACTGCTATGATCTCTGAGGAGCAGGATACAGAGGGAAGCACTTTCACATCAGGGGACATTATAACCAAACACCAGAGTGCTAAATTCATCCCTGTTGGGGAACCTTGTTTGGCTCCCCCCAGCACATGGTAGCAGAGTTGCAGTAGCCTGGAGCAAGAAGACCTTGATGTTAGAGAATCAAACCAGCATTAGCCAAGAGGGAACACACCTGCAGGATAAGTGCATTGCTCTGGGGCTCTGTTTTTGTGCAGAGCCACGCTCAAGCTGAACGCTGAGCTGGGAGTGCATGGGACAGAGCAGTGCTCACAGCCTCCCCCCTGCCTACCACAGAGCACGTCCTGCTACCTCATCCCAAGCAGCGCCCACCACACCCCCATGCCGTGCTCAGGACCAGCTGCCCACCAGCAAACCCGTCACTTGGGGGCTCCGGAGGCCCTAAACCATCCGTAAGGGATCAGAGGAGCTGCGGATTTCCCAGGGAATCAAATGCCTCTGCCAAAACCAATCTAATACCTTTCACATCACCACGCATCTCCCGAAAGCAGCATAAAGGACAGGGCTGCAAAGTTTGTTTCTCTTGTTCAGCTGCCAGGGACTCTCAGTATCTATTTGAAATGCAGGACAAAAAGTTTTGCCATGCAAAAGGAGAACAAAATAACAAGGGTGGAGAAAGCTCCCCACAAAAAGAGCCTGAACAAAGCATCTATTATTGCGATCCGGAGCTCAGTACGGACAGATGTGTGAAAAATTAATCCCTCCTCCCTGAAAGAAAGCTGTTCTCTTGACTATGAGATGAAAGCCTCTGCACCAGAGGCACTGCACAGCTCCATGCAATGGCACTGCTTGCGCCGGCCGGGACGGCTGTGTGGGGCTGCACAGGTGGGAGATGGGAGCAGAGGCTGATAATCTGTATTGGCAAAAGCCTGCTTACCAACACACACAGACGGGTTCCATCACTGGAGGATCCCTAAATCAATCCAACGTGCTGAAAGTAATCAGTCCCACACACTGAAATTACATTTGCCAGGCGCTGCATTAATCAGCTCCTTCAGTCAAAAACAAATTTCCCACTCATCACGCTGCTGAGCACATTAATGCTGCGTGCTGTCTAAGAACACAGCCAATCCACTTCTTGTTCTTACGGTGCTCTTTGTCCCTGTGTCTCTTGGCAGTGACACCGTCTCCGTTTCACAGACGGTACAAAACGCAGCACAAGGAGCAAAGTCACTTGGGGAAAGGTATTTGAAAAAGGGAACCACTGTGCTGGTTTCTGTGCCCCCAAAGGGACCTCCCTGTTGCAGAACCTCCCCCAGGTCCCACCAGCACCTCAGGGTGAGGATGCCCTCCCGTTCCCAGCAGCCACAGCCCCTTCCCCTGTGCCTGAGTTTGGCCCATCACAGGTACCCACACAGCTCCCCACACGCTGCTCCCCGGCAGCTCTGAAGCTCCATGGGAAATGGAAAGGGGTGGAAGGAGAGATCTCCTCATAATCATGTTTGCATGAGGGGCTCCAGACTTGCAGAAAAGATCCCTGCCCTCCTCTGTGAGTCCTCTGCATATAATTACAGAAAACAAGATAGCAAAGCTGTTCAAAAGGCCCAAAGTGCCTACTTCAGACACTGCAATTAGAAGGTATTTTACAATAAATGTTTTCCACGGGCTTACACACTGACCAGGAAAGCCCTGAGGATTCACAGCAATTTCATGCCCTCTTATTGTTCAGAACAAGCCAAAGCCAGTGTTTGGAGTTCAATTTCGCACATTTTTCCGCTTCCCGCACCAACAGTTTCCCTATAAATGCCAAAGCAGCCCCATGCAATGGGGCACAGATACGTCTGTTTCCAGAAGCCCTACCCTACGGTCACAGCTCGAGGCAGCGGCCGTCTCCACGCCAGTGCTTTCTCCAGCACAGAAACAAGTCAGGGAGCAGCAGGCTGGCAGCGGGACAGGAGCTCAGAGGGCAGCATGCGGCCAATGGGGCAACCAGCGATTGCTTTGGGCCACGTCCCACTCAGCCCTGAAGCACACATGATGCCCCCCAAAAGTCACGAGGACCAAGAAATCCCTTTTCCTATCAATAAATACTATGCAAACAATTTTCTCTGCTTCCTACTGACTAAAGCACGTGGGCACATGAGGTCGCATGGCAAGAGTCTAGCAATGAGCACGTGTGGCCTCAGCACCAGATTTCAGAAAAACCACCAAAACTATTACAGAATCACAGAACGGCTGGAGTTGGAAGGGACCTCCGAAGGCCATCAGATCCCACTGCCCGGCAACGCACAGACACTCACAGCTCCATCAGTGCTCAGGGCTGCCTCCCCTGACCTTGGCTGTCTGCAGGGACAGGGCAGCACCACCTCTATGGGCAGCCTGTGCCGCCCCTACTGTAAAAAACTTCCTTACATCCAACCGGAATCTCCCCTCTATGTAGTTTGGCCCCTTGGCCTGTCACAATGGACCCTGGAACATATGCTGGGAGCTCCACTGATCTCCCAGGGAAAAAAGCACCACGTTGCCAATGCAGAAATGTCTGCAGGTGGAGCAGGAGAGGGGGAACCGATGCCCTCCTTTCACACAGTGTTACCAGCGGCTTTGATCAGCGCAGGAGAGCAGCGTGAGGCTCACAGCTGTCATTTCAGATGGGTTCTCGCCCGCATTATTCTTTCCATTAGGCAGTGTTATCCTCTTTGTCGGATCTTTAGGCTTCATTTCAAAAGTATCAGACTCACAACCATGAAGCAGAAGAGCCCGCTGCCTTTTATGGGAGGCAGGCAGGCATGGGTCCAATTTACCCGACACAAACGCAGCCTTTAATGGTGAGCACACACGAGGGAAAGCTCAATCCCAAAACAATCCCTTTACGCTCAAAACTTTCATCTTTCAGTCCTCCATCTCCCCCCCCCCTCCTTTTCTACAAGGAACAAAAATGAAAAAGAAAACGCAGCCGCCGTGTCAAGCTTTAGATGAACAGCCAACCACTCACCGCTGGAGGAACACACCCAGAGCAATCAAACTCCATCTAGGCTCACTGAAAGATCAGGACAGCACCTGACTGCTCACAACCCGCTGTCGTGCTTTAGGAGCAATGTTCTCTCCTGGATTTGACTGCAGACCCCACGAAGCTCTCCCTCTGCCCGCAGCAGCACGGAGCAGCACGGCGCCAGGCAGCGCTCATGGGCACGCAGTCTGCTGCCCAAGCTTCCCATCGACTCCACCAACACTTTAAGCATCCCCAGGCCTGCCCAGAGTTATCCTGACAGCCCCATTAAGCGCTTCCCTTTGTCTTTATATGCTGTGGTACATCAAGCTTATTAAAATCTATTTCAGCAGGTCAGAAAATTAGCGAACTTCAGATTCAGCACATCGCGCATAATGGAAACCTCATTAGCAGCCCTCTGTGATTCAAGGCACAGCCGCTGCTGTTTGAGATGTGCGACGCGTTGCAGGTCGTGGTGGGGAAACGCTCCACGTCAGACACGCCGCGCGCCGCACCGGCTGCGTGCTCGTGTTCTTGTGAGCAAATATTTCTGCTCTGGAGTTTCAACAAAACAACAAAATCCAAATATAGTTAATTCGAAATTTGGCACTTGTGCTTTATGTACAGCGAACGACCCATTTTTCAGCTGTTTACCGCTCTCAGGCCACGGTTTTTAAAACGAGAATGATGCACTTTTGCCCAGTAATTACTTTATGCATCGCTGAGACAAAGCCTTGTTTGTCTCCAAATTATCGTTCCGTGTCATTTCGAGTGTAATAACCCTTCTGCAGTTATTTCACCAGGCAGAAAACTGGGGAAGTTCTCAAAGGCAAATGGCTCGTTTTCAGTAAAGTAATCATGTAAAAAAACAAAAAAACAAAAGCCACGAAAAAAAAGAAAGAAAACCCCAAAACCAAAG